ACAGACAAGCAAAAAAAAAAAACAATAGCCACAACAAAAATGAATTCTTGGGATGGGATAGTCTTTAAAAGGATCAACAAAGTTGGAAAACCTGTAACTAGATTGAACAAGAAAAAGTATGAGAAGAAATTTCTAAAATCAGGAATGAAAAAGGGAGCATGATTACCATCCTAACGGAAATAAAAAAATATAAGGAAATATTAGGAACAATTGTATACCAATAAATTAGATAACTTTGATGAAATGGTCAAATTCCTATAGAGAGACTAACTAGCAAAACTGACTTATGATGAAATACAAAGGCTATGTAGGTCTATAACAGGAAATTACATTAGTAATTAAAAAATTCCTACAAAGAAAAGCCCAGGCTCATATGATTTCAATGGTGAATTCAGTTAAGCATTTTAAAAAGAATTAATAACCTTTCTTCAAAAGCTCTTTAAAAAATGAGAAAGACACAACCCAATTCATTGTAAAAGAATGTTAAAGAACAAAGTCAGACCATTCCTCACACAAAATAAAAAAATTAACTCTAAATGTATTAAAAACCTAAATATAAGAGCTAAAAATATAAAACTATTAGAAGAAAACATAAGAGTTAGTCTTTGTGAAGTTGGGTTAGACAATGGTTTCTTAGCTGTAAAAATAAAAGCTCAATCAACCAAAAAGAAAAAAAAAACGGATACATTAGACATCTTCAAAATTAGAAATTTTCCTACTTCCAAGGGCACCATGAAAGCAGTGCAAAAACAACTCACAGAATGAGAGAAGATATTTTCAAATCCTTTATCTGATGAAGGACTTGGATCCAGACTATATAAAGAATTCTTACAATTCAATGATAACAAAAGCAGAAAAAAAACCCATCTTAAAAATGGGCAAAGAATTTGAATAGGTATTTCTCCAAAGAAAATATGCAAATGGCTGACAAGCACAGGAAAAAAAATGCTCAACATCATTTGTCATTTAGGAAATGTAAATCAAGGGCCCAGCCCCCGTGGCCGAGTTGTTGAATTTCTGTGAGCTCTGCTTTGGCGGGGGTTCAGATCCTGGGTGCGGACCCACTCCATTCACCAGCCATGCTGTGGAAGTATCCCACATACAAAAAATAGAGGAAGATCGGCACAGATGTTAGCTCAGGGCAAATATTCCTTATCAAAAAAATGTAAATCAAAACCGCAGTAAGATAGCACTTCACACCTACTAGGATGGAAAAAATAGAGACACAGTAATAAGTGATATTGAGAATGTGGAGAAATTGGAGCCATCAAACATTGATGTTGAGATTGAAAATCGGTGCATCCACTTGGGAAAAGAGTTTGGAAGTAAGTACCTCAAAACCTTAAGAGCAGACTTAGCATATGACCCACAATTCCACTCCCAGGCATATACCAGAGAGAAACAAAAACGTATCAAGTCCACATAAAAACTTGTATATGCATTTTTTTAGTGGTGTTATCCAGGATGGCCAAAAGAAGGAAACACACCAAATGTCCATGAACTGATGAGTGGACAAATGTGCAAACAAAATAGTTCTCGCATTCACCAGACTAGTAGAGTGGATCTTCTTAAGTGAAGATGTTCTGGAATTATACCACCTAGATTTAAATTCCAGCTCTGTCACTCTTTAATCAAGTTGCTTAATCTTGTGTTTCTATAACTCTGTACTGTAAATAATAGTGCCTACCTCTTGTGGGAATTTAGTAATGAGATCATGCATTTAAACCAGTGCACGTCATGTAACGAATACTAAATACATGCTATTATTATTCCTGTTACTACTGTTATTTACCCATTTTTTGGCTATCCATATAAAACAAACTTCTTCTCACACTTCCTGCCATTCAAGGACATGCTAGAGAGGGATTTTGGTTCCTGACATCCTCCTGCTCCCACTTGCTCCTGTCATAGAGGATGTGGAGAGGCAGAGGAGAGGGGCTTATATGATTTGTTAGAGTATGTTATCCAGTGTGCCACGTGGTCAGTGGTTGAGGCTTCCTCTCTTTTGCAGTTTGTCTCAAAGATTGTTCAAAAAGGTCAGGATTGTCCTCTGTGTTCTGCTCTCATGGAATAAGCTACATACAAGACTACGTAGAGGCAGGCCATTAAACTCTCCTCTTTATCTTGCAGTCTGTCCCAATGATAACTGAGTTTGTGAGATGGGTTACATATTACATGTTATTGAGTGGGTATGTTCAGACTTTTCTGTATACATGAGCATCCCCTGAGCAGAACCCAAGATCTCAATTTAGAGCTAAGAGCATAAAATAGGTAGCTTTCTTCTTGGCCTTCAATCGAATCCACATCCTCTAATCCAGTTTTTCTTGGCAGATCTACCCCTCTGAACTTAATTTAAAGTCATTATAATAAAGCCCATAATTTGATCTTCATTTAACAACTTGTTCCAGAGGGGAATAGGGAGAATTTTAACTTTGAACCTTAGAAGACCTAAACAGAAGATATCCAGTCTTCCTCAACATTTTTCTTTCAAAAAATTAATGGTGCAATGAAAAGTATGTAGAGGAGATTATTTTGAAGTTCCTAACATCACACAGCAAAAGCTACAGGTAACAAGAACTATAAGAGGATTGTGGGATTCCAAGTGTTTTCCTTAATGGAAGATCCAACAATTCACGCAGGTTTTCATGTTAAACAACATGGTAGTTTTCCACTGATGCCTTCTTTTATCCACCCTCCATGTCCAAATGAGTCATGTTCTTCTCACCCTACACAACCTTTTCTCCCACATCCTCAGGCTTAGCTATCTTCCAATTTTCATGAGGAACGTTGTCAAAGCCACTTAATGTTCTCCTGTGTCCTCTTGTGACCCCATATGTCCAGTTCATTCTCTACTTTGTAGCCAGAATGATCATGTTAAAGTACAAAAACAATTTTGTCAGTCTCCTCCCTAAAATCCTTCCTTGGCATCCCAGTACCCTTACTCTAAAGCTTAAATGGGTAATGTTGTTGATAGGAGCAGCTCTGCTGCTTCAGCTCCTATCTATTATCCTAACCTTACCTTGAATCGCTCTCTTTTTATTTTTGGACTATATTTTGGACACAAATATATTGGACTTATTTTAATACTTCCAGAGAAACATTTTCATTCTTATAAGGGGGTATTTGCACACGTTGAACCAATTTCAAGAATGTTCCGCCCCTCCAACAGACACCCCACAACAACAATCCCCAAGGATTTGATCTCGTCACACACTGACAGTACTTTACAATCTCTGCCTTCTCTCAGGTACAGCTCCCCAGCTCCTCCATTCCCCAAACAGGGCTTACTCAACCTACTATGGCAACGAGGGGTTTAAGAAATCTTAGTCATTTCTTTCATACATTATAGAGACCAAAAGTGTTGTAAAGGTCAGTACCAATGATTCTTCTTCATCCAACTGAATGTGTACCTGAGCTTACCTCTCTGTAATGCAAAGGAACCTCTGCATTGATCTCTCAGACATACATTCAGACTCAGTATTTAGGAAACTTAGGTTCAGTCTTAGCAAACATTGTTTCTCCCTCTCTATATAATAAGACTGTGAGGATACCCAGAGCAGACATTACGTTAAAATAAGGCTTTCAAATGACTTTTGTGTTCTTTCCATAGTTCTGTGGCAACACAAGTCAGGTCTTGGTCACCCAGGCCCAGTGCTCTGTCTTTCCAAATACTCTGGCTATAAGTTCATATAACCACTCCTACCTTCATCCCATAGAAATCCATGTTTTAATTATCTAGGAAGGTGAATTCCTCAAGGGCAAAAATTTGTGGATATCCTCCAGGGCTCAAGTTTCCTGTATACATATAGCTAGGAAGCTAAAACAGCAGAGAATATTGGATAGAGATGAGAGACAATTCTTCCAGATTGGGGAAGATGCTGAATCCTGGTCTTGCCACATCACCTGTGACATATATTGGGCCAGTGACGACTACAGCGTCTTTTTTTTATTGTTGTCCCTGTTACAGATGTGGAGAAACTAGAAAACACCTCTCTTCTTCTACTGGCTCCAATCTCCTTATGGATCAGCAGCAACATCAATCTTTGGTTTCCTTATTTTTATGTCACCATCCCCCACATGGGTCACCATTGCCAAGGAGGGAGCATGAGGAGGACCTGCCTTTTCTTCCTTCTCAAATTTATGAAATAGAAGACAGGCCCAAAGGAAGACCTGAACTTGGATGGTTTGATGGAAGATGATGACGGTAATGTAGAAATTGTTACCTGAGCAGAGAAAAAGCCTGTACTAGTAATTGAGAAGTCTGGGTTCTACTCCTCGCTCTTTTACTAACTCGTGTGACTCTAGGCAAGTTACATCCTTTCTCCAGCTTTCATTTACTTCATCCAAGGAAAGAATGCATTGTGCACAACTGCCTTCAAGCCTTTCTGATCCCCAGAATGCTAAGAATCTACAAAACCTCTTTCATTAGAAAACTTCCTCATGAGCAGCCTCAGTTTATGGCTTGGGTGTCTCATGAATGGTGTCAAAGATAGTTGGAGAACTAAAGCAGGGCACCGTTTATCTCAGGGCCTGCATAAGACTGGGGAATCTACCTTTGCCTTACAACATCTCCACCAAATTCTGCAGGTGGCAGATCGTTTCTTAAATGTCAAATATAAAAAAAAAAATCAAGAAAGAGAAGAAAGACCATGGAAGAAGGGACATCAAGAGTACATGAAATAATTAGTTAAAAGTGTAAAATGTTGATTTCAAGTTTCCTGAGAGCCTGGGGGTTTATAGAACAAAAGTAACTAAAACCAGTTCATCCAGCATCATCCATTAGGAGGCTGTCCTTATCCCCATCTTCTGCAGCAAATATCATTCCCCAAACCCCCAAAATGTACATTTAAAGTTGCACTCAACCCTCCCCAACTTGGAATACCACCTTGTACCATGGGAGGTAACCTTATCTTCTCTCATTCCTCTCCCAGGAGTCTTAGAACCAGTGGCTGAGGAAACCATCAGTCCCAAAGCCTAGGAATGCTTGTCCCTGGACCTACCTTTCTTCAATCCAGTAACATATGCGTGTGTCTTAAGAGTGCTGGAGACTCTGGTAACGTGTCTTCAGTTCAGATTACAATCACTCGCCCCAACTTCACATCTCAGTTTAGATCTGAATTCCTCTCCTAGCAATTTTTCTAAATCCCAAAGGCGGTGTAAAGTATTTCTGACAATCAGAGCTAGTTCCTTTTTTACATCGGAAGTGATAATTGAGCCTGTGTTCCTAATATGGGTGTGGAAGTCTATTGTGAAATTTGCTAAACAAGCAGTGACTGCCTCATAGAGTCTTTTACAGGAAAATAATAGTGGTTATTACCACTATTAGTGGTATATCCGTGTATATAGTGTTTATCAGTGGAGATCAGTGGTTGAGGATTTACTGTATGTCAGACTCTGCTCAAGGCCTTTATATCCATATACTAATTTAATGGCATTTGAAAATCATTTGGAAAGCCCCTTTTCACAATTTCACACATTTGCCCTGTCTCCTAGAGAACTGTGTGTTGCCATTCTAGACACAACTTAAAAGTATTGTTTATGTGAAATTCCACCATTAGAGATGAATGTCTATAAAATGTCGACAAATTGTTTGCATAGCAATAATTAATGTGGCACTTTCCTATATCAAAGAGGAAGTTGGTATCATAGAAAGAGCCTGCCCTTTGACAAAGACAAACTCAATACCAATCATTTATTGCATGACTTTGTTATTTCTCTAAACCTAAGATTCCCCATTTGTAATATAAAATCAATAGTTAGTTTACATGGAGGAGGAATGCAGAGTGGTGTTCAGTTCTCATTCATTCAACATTTTCTTAGAGAAAATTACTATGAGCCTAACAGTACATAATATGCTGCAGATAAAATGGTGGAAAATGATAGAGATCCTGACCTCAATGAGCTAATAGATTATGGGGCATCAGGACAAGTAAACATACCATCGAAATCCAGGATAATCAGTTCTCTGCAACTTAAAGAAGAGAATTCTAAGAGACCTCATAGGAGGATCATTTAATCCAATCTTGGTGAAGCAGAGGAGAATTCCTGGAGGAGGGGCCATCTAACCGGAGACTTGTTGAACGAGGAGAAGACAGACAAATGAAAGGAGAGCTGCGTCAAGGAGAGTAAGGGGTTGCCAGACAGAGTCAACAGAATGAAGAAAAGTCATCTCTGTTTATAGATATCACTTTAAAATTAAAGCACAATTCTTCCAGTCATAAAGGAACCAGACTTACTTTCGCACTCCTCTGTACAATTATAAAATCGGAAAATATTTTAAACAATGCTTGCGGACATTGGACAGTAGTCAACACAGGGCTTTCTACGTTGAGAAAATGGAAACAAATGTGAATATAACAATTGCTCTGATTTTCTGCATGAAGGAACTTTCCAGACCATAGTCAAGGAGATGGATTCCAATGGATCTTTCAGTACTGAGAAGATAGAAATCAGAGGTTGAGGGAGCTGAGACAGCTAGAATTAGTGAGTAGAGAACCACAAAGGAAGTAACTATGCAGAGACAGAGTTCCTGAAACCTTCAAGAGAATCCTTTTAAATTTATTGTTAGTTAATACAAATTTACAGGCTGAAATTCCAAAAGTCCAATCAAAGAATAACCATATAGTTTGGTAGTTCTAAGCTGAATGATTACCAGAACTCATGCAGAGCTGGGAGACTTTCAAGTCCCAATCGGTTGGAATGCAGACTCTTCCATGAACACTCTGTGTGTTGGATAAAGGCCTCCAGGAAAGTTGGACTTGAAGTTTAACTTCCCGCCAGAAATAAAGTGCAATATTCTTTTTAAAAAGGCAATTTGAGTGCCTAATGACATAAAAATGACAACATCCAGCATCCATTCACTTTTATTCACAATTATTCACATTATTCACAATTATTATATATGCGAAGAAGCAGAAAAATGACAATAACCAGGAGAAAAATCAATTAGAAAAAACAGATGAAAAAATACCTAAGTTTAAAAGTACATGAGATGAAATGGAGGCAGTCTTCTTTTGTTTTTCTTGTTTATTTTTTTGAGGAAGATTAGCCCTGAGCTAACATCCACTGCCAATACTCCTCCTTTTTTTTTGCTGAGGAAGACTGGCCCTGGGCTAACATCCGCGCCCATCTTCTTCTACTTTGTATGTGGGATGCCTATCACAGCATGGGTTGGTAAGTGATGTGTAGGTCCACGCCCAGAACGGAACCTGTGAACCCCAGGTCACCAAAGTGGAACGTGCAAACTTAGCCGCTGCACCACAAGGCTGGCCCTAGGCAGTCTTCTTTGAAAGTCAGAATCATAACATCTTGCTCTTATAACCTGGGTGTTCATATAAACTTTTTACAGTTGAAAATGCACTAGTCTTAAATTGCTCATATAAATATGAACACAGAAAGGTTCATGTGTCCAAAACTTTTCACCAAAGGGAGGCATTCTCTGGCCATTTTAAATAAACCCAAGGCAACAGCTCAGGAAAAATGAAAGTAAGATATTTTACAAAATCCAAGAGATAGCAAAGAATCAAGTGATGTTGGGTCTTAAGGGCTTGGTATGAGCTCTGGCTTCTATTCTGAATTAGAGAGGAAGCCATTTGAGGATTTTGCCAATTATTACACTACCTGAATAGTTCTACTTTACTTTCTTTATATATTTAAATGTTCATGGATTGGCTCAATTCCAGAGATTGGCACAACTCCAGGTACATGTTCACTCAGAGCCTGGAAGGACATCGTTAGGGGGTGATCTTTCACTTGGAACCTCTCGGTGCTGCATTCCTCTGTAAGCATTTGTCTCTGACACGATTCACATAGTAGCATAATGGCTGCTGATAGCAGCAGGTTTACATTGTCACAGCTCAACATCCTCACAAGCCCAATAGGAAAGAGAAAAGAGTCAGGCAGTCTTTCCTGGTCAGTGAAGCAGAAATGCTGGGATTAGCTTTGGTTAGAAATGTCACTCATTCATACAATTGAACTTTCTTAGATCACAAGGCTAAGTGACACAAAAATCAGTCATTCTAGTTGGGTTGATGTAATTCTGCCATTGCCTAGATCTGGGAGAACTTGAGGGGAGATCAACATAAATTGGGAATAAGAGAATGGTGATTCCTTAGAGGAAATTCAGGCCATGATTATCAGAACAAATGGGAATAAATGCTTTGCACCAAAAGCTGTAAAATATAAATGATGTATTGAAAAAAAAAAAAAGTGGAAGAGGGGAAATGGGCAAAGGACCTGACTAGACATTTCTCCAAAGAAGATGAAAAATGCCCAAGAATGTATGAAAACGTGCTCAGCGTCACTAATCATCAGAGATATGCAAATCAAAACCACAATGAAATATCACCTCGTATCTATTAGAGTGGCTATTATCAAAAAGAAAAGAGATAACAAGTGTTGATGGGGATGTGAAGAAAAGGGAATATGTGTAGACTGTTGTTGGGAATGTAAGTTGGTACAGCCATTGCAGAAAAGAGTATGTAGGCTCCTCAGATGTTAAAAGTAGAACTACCGTATGATCCTGCAATCCCGCTTCTGGGAATATTCAAGGGAAATGAAATCACTATCTTCAAGAGATGTCTGCATTCCCAAGTTCATTGTAGTATTATTCACAATAGCCAAGATATGGAATCAACCTAAGTATCTGTCAACTGATGAGTGGACAAAGAAAATATTATACACATATAACTTCTATGTATATATGTACATACATGTATAGCCACATAAATATTTTCAGCCTTAAGAAAGAAGGAAATCTTGCCATTCACAACAACACGGTTGAAACTGCAGGGCAGTATGCTAAGTGAAATAAGCCAGACACAGAAAGAGAAACACTATGATGATTTTACTTAAATGTGGAATCTAAAAAAGTCATACTCATAAAAACAGAGAGTAGAATGGTGGTTGCCCGGGGGCTGGGGAGCAGTGAGGGAAATGGGGAGATGTCGGTCAAAGGGTATCACATTTCAATTGAGTAGGATGCATAAGTTCTAGAGATCTAAAGTACAGCATGGTGACTATAGTTAATAATACTGTATTTTATACTTGAAATTTGCTAAAAGAGTTTATCTTAAGTGTTCTCACCAAAACAGATAAAAGCTATCTATATGAGGTGATGGATATGTGGTAATCATTTCACAATGTATACATATATCAAAACATCACATTGTACACCTCAAATATATACAATTTTTATTGGTCTATTATACCTCAATAAAGCTGGAAAAAATTTTGAAACCAAAAAATGTCTGTAAAAAGGCAATGATCATTTTTCTCCTATCACAATGAAACTTATCGCCTCTTCAGAAAAAACTTTCCTGGTTACTGTTTCTATCGTGCCACACTCCCCCAGCACTACCACCAGCCATTCTCTAGACCATTAACTGTGTGTTGAGTAAAATTATAATGAATTGATATATATGTGTGTGTGTGTATATATACACACACACACATCCACACAAACAGCTGTACATGTACATATATTCACTTAAGTGAACATATTAAAACTCTTAAGGCTCAGTATCTGCCAACCAGAGTAGTGGTTGCCCTACCTGTATTGTTTCAAGTAACTATCATGGGTCTATGAGCCAAGTAATATTATCACTATTTTACTCAACAGAAATATGAACTACAGAGAAATTTTGTGGAATATCCATGGCCACACAGGTAGCAATGGAGAACAATGGAATTTTTGAGACGAAAACCCAGGGTTGCCTGATTAAAAAGCCCACATTCTTCACCACCATACTGTATTTCTTTATATCAAGACTTAGTTAATCTCCACTATATCTCATCTGAATGGGAAGTAGGTAGTACATGAACTCATTGTTTCTAATTTTATTTAATTTATTTTTGCTCTGTAATAAATCAAATGTATTTAATAAACATCCAGTAAATACCACGTGTTTCTCAATTCCATGTGTGGCACTGGGTACAAATTTGATTAGGATATAACCCTGCCCTGTAGGAAAGAGAATGAGAGAGACAGGGAAGGAGAGGAAGGAGAAGAGACAGAGAGAGAAAATATAAGTGGACTTTGATCCATTGTTTGATTATTACTCTATGTGTATTTACACTCAAATAATGGTTTGTGCACATGCAAAGACTGACTGTGCTATTCAAAGGTATTTCCTGTGGAAGAAGGAAAGCAGGAAAAGGAAAGAGAGGAAAAAAACA